ATCTTTCTTTTAAGGAGAGCTATAGGATTACTCAATGTCTTTGTTAGATGGAGAGTTCGTCCCGTTGACCGCGGCCACGCTCGGCGACTAATTGTCGCCCTGAGCCCAAGCTCACTGTCACAAGTCTCGAACAAATACAATTGGTTAGAATGACGGCAAATCGTTTAATTACAACTGTAGATTTTAATTACAATGTTTTTATGGATTTTCCCGAGGTTTCAGAGGGGAGGCACCGGTGTCCTCTTATCTCCGACATATATATGTTTAAATGTTAGTATTAGATACAAGATGAGATACGTGTGTTTGGGATGGCAGTTTGGATAAGTGTGGGTCTTTGGAGGCTCTCATTAAATTATGAGAACGAGCGAGAGTCAGAAATATGTAAGCCAAGTCCTTTTTCTAGGCTGTGAAACCGAAAAATAAATAAATAAATAAATAAATATGTATAGTATAATATTTAAAAATTGAACAAATATTTGTCGTTGTTCCATTGATCGTTGAACTATATTTTTGACAGTTTTTATAAAATTTAAAGAAGTTGAAAGAATAAATGTATATTTTTCTATGCTATCTGCAAGTTGTATTTTTTAAAAAAATCATTGAATGGAACACATAGGATGTAGTAGAACAACAAATACAATAGCAAACGAGCGAAACTCGAAGAACTCTGCCAATTTAAACTATTACACTTTCTGTCCTTAATAAATATATACATTATAGTGCTTAAAAATGAAACAAATATTTATTTAAATTCTATTTCTTTCTTTAGTTGTACATAGAGAAACCTGAACTCGCATAAACGTTCACAGTGAATAATTAATACTGAAATAATCCGGAGATGATGTTAAGAAGAATGTTGCAAAGGCCGAAGAAAAAGAAATACAATTTTTGAAGATTGAACATTTCAGATACATAGAAAACTTTTAAATACAATACGTAAAAATATGGGTTTAGAAATATAGAATTTTTGCAGATCTAAAGATATTAGAAAATTTCATATCGAAGGTATTTGATTAAATCACGCAGTAGAAATTGAAGAAGAAGATTAAACGACGTACTTATTGATATCACGTTTCTTACATGCGTGTGTATATAACGCGTGTGAAAAATGTGAATATTTTCGAAGTTATGGAGGCTGAAAGTTTCCCAGTTACCGAATGAACGTATACATATATAGCTATATAGACACATATACATAATTTGAATTCCATTAGTTACGAAGAATTTACCTCCTCGACGTCTTTTCCAGTAGCGAGGTGAAATTACGTTTTGGGATCCTTCCAGGTAAACTTGAGCCATATGATTCTAACAATTTACTGGCGGATCATGGTTTTATGACTGCCATTAGGGACGGTTCTGTAGCTAATCGTACGAGCCATAAATACCAAGTCGAGAATAAGTTTTTTACTTAATTCCTCTGACGTTGGCAAGTAAACTTTTCTCATTTTGGCTTGGACGATTTGTTACAAAGAACGTGAAAAAATGATGTATCAGATATATAGTTTGTTAAATTTCTTCAATTAAATTGATAACATTGAAACATTTGTCGCTTAAAGGTCTTTTAATACAAAATGAAATAAAACAAATAATTAAAGAAATTTCACAATTTAACAGACAAATTTAACTTGCAAATGAACGAATTAATAAATTTATAATAATTAATTCCTCGCCGAAAGGATTGTTCAAATACATATTTAATGCTTATCGATGAAAAACACAATCCGAAGAAACGAAATGAATAACGTTATCGCTTAAAACCCTAAGAGTACGCACCAGATATCATCAAAAACAGGTCTGAATACGTTTCTATAAACGTGTCCTAATTAATTTCACTTCTGCCCAATTACTGCCAAACTCCCTTCCGTCCCATTACCCGAGAATCAGCTTGATTAGAGCTTCATCGATCCTGAGATTCGGTTATCGAAGATCTTTCTCGGTCGTAACCTCAGCCAAATCCAGACTATGGTTCAATCAAGCGATTGACCGGCTAAACTCGCAGTTATAACGGTCAAACTGAGAATGAAATCCCACAGTGCACACCGGTATTTGCCAATGTCTATCTAACTCTTTCTGCTACCTTATCGAAACATACGATAAATGCTTAACAACGCGTATTTTTCGTTCCAATAATCACGAAAACATACAGGGTGGTTGGTAACTGGTGGTACAAGCGGAAAGGGGCTGATTCTACGCGAAAAAAGAAGTCGAAAATATAGAATAAAAATTTTTCGTTTGAGGCTTTGTTTTCGAGAAAATCGACTTTGAATTCTCGCTCGGTACGCGTGCACTTTATCGCGTCTCGTTATAACGGATCTCACTGTAGATCGTTGTCTCGATGGAAAAATTAAAAAAAACATTTTTTATTCTATATTTTCGATTTCTTTTTTCGCGTAGAATCATCCCCTTTCCGCTTGTTCCACCAGTTACCAACCACCCTGTATATCGACGATAAATCGTAGATTAGAATTTGTGATCGTGAAAGTTTTTCAATTCGAATATTTCTTTCGTAGTAATCGATTTTTCGACGTCGAGAAGACGGTGCCACGTAAAATAACACACACACACACACACAAAAATAGAAAAAAAACAAATTTAAGATGAAAAATAAAAAAGGAACTTATTCTTTTTCTAACACTTGGTTTACAATTTGCTTCCGAGCTCTAAGCGTGACTTTTTAAGACTGACTCTTACAACTCGACTTCCGATCGGATTCGGTTATTTTTTTTTTGTCACCCCTCAATATCCCCACTGTCCTCGAGTTTG